AATTGTATAACATGTATAATGATATTCAAAGTGAGTGCAGAAAAAGAGGAAAATTATCAATCTATCTTTTGATGTTACTTTATGATATCTTCTGTCTTCCATAGTAAATATTTTTTAAATGGAACTAACATCCGGTAGTCCTTAATCTCGTCCTTATTTATAACTAGTGCAGTTATCTTTAGCAGCTCTTTGATTGTACATGAAATGAAATGATTTGGCTTAAATGAAAGTATTGGTGATACAATCATGACAGTAAATCTATTCTTCAAATTTGGTATGATGATAGTATTGTGACGGGCGGACTGAAATCTCCATGTGGAGTGTCACATATATCTGACCCAGACAATCTGTCTTTACTTAGACCATTTCAAATAAGTCAATGTTCAGTGACTTGTAGATTTCTATTATTTGTAAAATTGCGATTCAGGTTTATCCCATAAATCTTTATGATTTTCCTCGACTTCACATGAAACAAATATAATTATGACGGCCCACTTTCTGAAGTGTCATTAATCTGTATTAGCTTTGAATGCAATTTCCTATAATTCTCTTTTAACCTGATATAGTTAAAAGATAAAGGAGGAGTGCTACAGTAAACAGGAAGATAATTAGCAAATCAAGTGTTGTGTGCTTGACTTTGTCAGTCCCTTTCTTACAGACATTGCTATTTAGTTGCTGGTGTATGTATAGGTTCTTCACATTCTGAACTGTTTTACTACAGCAAAGTTTGACAGAACTCAATAAGTTTCCTTAAGTTATATGTGAAGGATGAGGATGCCATGTTTTTGGCTGTTTAATTTAAAATGAGAAAATATAATCATCTTCATTCTCAAAACATATCTAACATATTTACTTTTGTTTTATCAATATGTTTGTATATATATATAAAGGATAACTGTAAAAACTGTCTGAATAACCTCAACTTGTCATTATTATTCAGATAAGAGCTGCCATAGCATTATGTAAAAAGATATTCCGCTACAAGATGTTACTTGTGATATGGTGTTTCAAAAACTAAGGTTCTATTATCTTTGGTCATGGGAGACACCTTAAGTCAGCTGATTATATACAAGGATATATTGTTACATAATAAAGGACAGACAGAAGTCTATATTTGGAATGATGATAGAATTGTGACGGGCGGACTGAAATCTGCATGTTGAGTGTCACATTTATCTGACCTAATCACTCAACTGTCTTTACTCTGGCCTTTCATATAAATGCTGGGTATAGTAAAGAAAAAGTGAAATATTAAAATAAGTACAATGTTTTTCCAAGTGTACAAATATATTTATTGGTTACAGGTTTTTAAAGATGTAATATTTTATGTTATAATAAAGTACAGTTACCAATAAAAAATAAATGACTTTTTAATAACTGGACATTTGTTGAATGATGATAGTATTGTGACGGGCAGACTGAAATCTGCATGTAGAGTGTCACATAAATCTGTAAGGTTGTGATCTGAGTCATGAAAATATGTTGGTGTCCTGGATATAAGGTCTCGGGGGTTTTTATACCCTGTTTACGTATTATGGTAAACAGTTGTCCATACATCCGTCGTCAACATGTCTGACAATTACTCAAAAACGCTTTAACCAATTTTCATGAAACTTTGGTGAATTGTTTATATCTATTGACGTAAGCTCCCTTTAGATTTTCATAAATTTTAGTTGTTACGTTTCTGAGTTATGAGATTTTATTCATGAAAAAAAAGGGGATTTTCTAGTTTTTTTGACAATAACTCAAAAATGCTTCAAGCAGTTTTCATCAAACTTTGGTAACTGATTTATATCTATTAAAATAAGCTCCCGTAAGTTTTTTTTATAAATTTTTAATATATGACATTGAGGAGTTATGGAACTTTATTCGTTAAAAAAGTGACATGCGTATAATGCGCTCATGGCGCAGGTCTTTATTTTACTTGTTGTAATGCCTTGTTTTGAAATGAAGGATTTAAGATCATATAATTTTTTTACATATTCATGTTAACTTTTAATGCACTTCCCTATAAATTCTCTTTTAATGTCATATAGTTGAAAGATAGAAGAGAAGTGCTATAGTAAACAGGAAGTTAATTAGCAAAGCAAGTTTTTGTGCTTGATTTTGTCAGTCACTTTCTTACAGTCATTGAAATTGAATTATTCTTTATTAGAAATTTTAAACAGAATAGAGGTGGTAACAAGTATTTCCTGCTCTTCGAATTCTTTCTCTCTCTCTCTCTGGTTGTGTTGCTTACTATATAATTCATCCATTTTTAACACACCTGGAAATATTTGATAAGAAGAATGTCACCTTCTCTGCTTTAATAAAGGTCTCTTTGACTCCCCATTCTGAAGGTCCTTAAATTGTTTGCTATAAGCAGGAGAAAAAGACTTAACATTTTCCTTAAAGGGGTCCATCCTGCCACAATAGGAGATAAACATAAGCTCTATGTACATTTTCTACAAAATGGTTGTAAACCTAGACATTTGATGATAGTATGGTGATGGGCGGACGGAAATCTTCATGTAGAGTCACATATATATCTGACTTGCAGAGTTGCAAAATAATTAGATACTGAAACCATCATTTCTCATAATGAAAGTGACGGAATATAGCAAATTTATTCATTCAAAAAATCCCTGCAATGTATAAAGTTATTTTGTCTGAAAGTCACAACTAGCTATAGGCCATAGGCACAAGTTATGAGCAGAACTTTGATGTCCCCAACGTAGTAGAGGAGGCATTAAGTTTTACCCTTGTCCGTCTGCTTATTACCACAAAACACAGATCAATTTCGAATTTTGGTGGCGTCAGTTTTACCGTTCTAGAGTTATGCCCCTTTATAAATGGAAAAATTGCTGAATTTTTAGTTTCCGTTCTCTAACTTTAGTTTGCCTCAACCAAATGCTATGAAACTTATACACAATGCTTATTACCACAAAATACAAATCAAGTTTGAATTTTGGTGGTGTCACTTTAACTGTTCTAGAGTTATGTCCCTTTACAAATGGAAAAATTGCTGAATTTTTCATTTTCGTTCTCTAACTTAAGTTTGCCTCAATCAAATGTTATGAAACTTATACACCCTGCTCATTACTATTAAACTCAGATCAAGTTCAAATTTTGGTAGCGTCACCTTTACTGTTCTTGAATCCTCAGTTATGTCCCGTTATAACTTTATATGCGAGCAGAGGCATCATCTGTGTCTCATGGACACATTCCCCATTTATTTACTTTTGCTTTAGTTTTGAAAATATCATAAAAGTGTTCAATCTGATTATATGTATTGCAGTATAAAGATAAAATATGAAAATTGCATTTACTTTAACAGGAGCTTTTCTGGAATCAACCCAAATCCAATCTTACTGGAAAGTCTGCTATATTGTTACAAACAGAGGCAGATATAAGGGGGGGGGGGCATAATCTTTCAATCAGTTTAATTGAGGTCTGGAGCTGGCATGTCAATAACTGCTAGTAATTTGTATCATTGTCGTTTTGCTTAGTTTCTTTTGTTACCTATTCTGACATTGGACTCACACTTCTTTTAAACGGAGTTTTACTGTGCGTATTGCTATGTGTTTCTTTATTCTACATTGGCTAGAGGTATAGGGGGAGGGTTGAGATCTCACAAAACATGTTTAACCCTGCCGCATTTTTGCGCTTGTCCCAATTCAGGAGCCTCTGGCCTTTGTTAGTCTTGTATGTTTTTATACGCCCGTTTACGGGACGTATTATGGTATACCGTTGTCCGTCTGTCCGTCCGTCCGTCGTCAACATGTCGGACATTAACTCAAAAACGCTTTAACCAATTTGCATAAAACTTTGGTGAATTGTTTACATCTATTGATGTGAGCTCCCTTTCATTTTTTATAAATTTTAGATTTTACGTTTCCGAGTTATGGGGTTTTATTCATTAAAAAAAGGGGGATTTTCCAGTTTTCTGACAATAACTCAAGAATGCTTTCACCAACATGCAAGAAATTGTGGAGAATTGTTTATATCTATTGACATGAGCTCCCTTTTGATTTTTATATATTTTAGATTTAACGTTTCGGAGTTACAGGGTTTTATTCATAAAAAAGGGGGGATTTTCCAGTTTTCGGACAAAAAATCAAAAATACTTTCAGCAGTTCTTATGAAACTTTGGTGAATTGTTTATATCTATTGATGTAAGCTCTGTTTAGAATTTTATAAATTTTACATTTTACAATTCTGAGTTATGGGGTTTTATTCATTAAAAAAGGGGGGATTTTCCAGTTTTCGGACAATAACTCAAAAATGCTGTCAGCAATTCTCATGAAACTTTGGTGAATTGTTTATATCTATTGATGTGAGCTCCCTTTACATTTTCATAAATTTCTAATATGACATTGAGAATTAATTGAACTTTAATTGTTTATAGTCTGACAACAGATTTACTAAGTATTGGGCAACAGCACAGTGTACTGCACAACAGCTTGAAATCTTTAATTGAATAAATTCAATTCATATAACCAATTTCAAGTTCTTTGACTACATTTATTCAGAAACCTGTAATATGTCAAATATTTAATACAATCCAAATTCAGACCTGTATCAAGCTTGAATATTGTGTCCATTTTTGCCCCAACTGTTCAGGGTTGGACCTCTGCGGGCGTATCCAGCTGCGCTCAGCGAAGCAGTTTATTTTAATTTTAGTTCATTTATATGTTTTGGAGTTTAGTGTGACGTCCATTTTCACTGAACTAGTACACAATTTTATTTAGGGGCTGGCTGAGGACCACCTCCGGGTATGGGAATTTCTCGTGTGTTGAAGACCCATTGGTGGCCTTCGGTTGTTGTCTGCTCTTTGGTCGGGTTGTTGTCTCTTTGACATATTCCCTATTTCCATTCTCAATTTTATTTGATTGGTCTATTATTTCCGAGGGAATAGAAATTGACACACTTTTCATTCAGTACATGCATGTAGGTAGAGTTATGACAATATGTACATCAGACAATCTGATCACCATTATATTTAATGTTTTTGTTTTCAGATGCACAGAAATTCAATGAAAAATTTAATGAAGCAAAGACAAACAACGTAAAGCTACTAGAGAAAGAAAAATTAGGTAACTTTATGTCATACTTTTGGCTTGCCTGCAAAATAGGAAGTTGCAAAGGCAACACAAAATGTCTTCATCATCATTGTCAACAATTGGCATAGTCTTTAGTTTTTAAATGCTTTCATATCTTTTTTAAATCGCTTTACTTCCTTTGATCAATAATAATTTGATTTTTTTGTTAGGATTTTTAGTTTTTAAATGTTAAAATTAGGTAATCATTAAATGAAAAATAAAGGACATTTCTTTTGTGATCAAAAGATAAGTATAAAAGTATATATATTATAAAATTAGCTATCAATAAACATTTGAAAATATCAAATAAAAATAAAGGAGATCTGGGATGGGTATGATTGCCAATCTTGGTCATGTGCTGGTAAATAAAACTATCTATCTTCTTTTGACACTTATTGGAGTAAAGTTCTGTATTTGGCAGTACAGAATTTACGTTTATCAGTTTATTGAGTAGAAACTCAAACAAGCCTCATCCTTGATAATAAACAATTACTAATATTTATTTTAAAAGAAACATCAAAGGGAAAATTACAGATGCTGATAGCAATTGGTATAAAACTAGGACAATATGGTACCACATTTCGTTGTCCTTAAGAAGCGAAGTGATTGGATGGGAAAGGGAATTCTAAGCCTTGGTTGCCCATGCCACTAGCATGAGCCTTGTTCAACTGTATAAAACCATATGAATAAAGTTAATTTGGTAAAGGAGTAAAGGCAATTATAGAATAATTTTTTGTTTGACAGGAAGACTAGAGAACGGAGAGGGAGATAAAAAAGACACTGATAAAGTGGCGGAGAAGTTGGGTGAGATGTCCGTGAAATCAGACGGTAGTGAAAACAAGGTGGAAAATAAGACTGATGACCAGAAAACTGAAACCAGTGAAGAGAAAACAGAAACAAATGATGAGAAAAAGGAGAAAGATTCTCCAAAAAAGACAGAAAGTGTTTCGTGATTTGTGAAGCTTTGGGAAATTGCCCAGCATTACAAATCAGTTATTCTGAGAAATTTTTAGTTCCTCATTTGTGGGAGGTAAACAAGAAGACTTGTATAATCAGTTGTATGTCTTGGATAGGTATAAACATTGTCATCAGTTTTCAAAATTGAACAGTTTTGACTGTTAACAGTTGATAATCAGTTGTTTAATCTGTCGTCTCATAAATGTGGGGAAAATGTCATCTAATTCATGAAAAAAATTACTTTGTTCGGTTTTTCAGTGGGAAACATGGGAAATATCCTTCAATTGTGGGATGAATTTATTACCATTTGATGCAAATCATAACATCTGCATTATTTCTATTCTAAGTCATTTCTTGTTATTGTGATCAGCTGTTCATGAATTTATTTTCAAGTAATAATTGAATTATCGGTACTTACAAATAAAGATACAAATGTAAGTGTGTTAAGTTTGTTTTTTTAGCTCACCTGGACCAAAGGGTTCACGTCATTTGGCATCTTGAGTCAAAAATAAAAAAATCAGAATTCATCTTTTAAAGCTGCAGGGCCAATTGAAACCTGATGTAGCAACAATTATCCATACAATGTTTAGTTTAAAAATTATATCTGTATTCAGGAGAAATCTTACCTTGCTTTTTATATCCAGAGCTCTAGCAGAGGAATCTAAAGATTAAGTGAGATGAGTAGGAACATGTTTAAAGATGGGAATAATGGGCAACCAGACTCTGCAAAGTGAATGTTAGTACAGAATATGATGGGTATCCGCAAATAAAGTCTGTGCATTGGTAAGGGAAACCTAAAATGGTTCTAATAAAAAAAGATAGGAGCACAATTTAGATTGTGAGAATGTTTCATTTAATTGGAATAAGAGATTTAGCAGGAGTTGTGGATACAAAACTGGTACCCTAAATAAAGCAATGGCAGTGTTCATGCTTTGGTAAGGAAAACCCCAAAAGAATATGATAAAACAACAGAAAAGGTGGTGCACAGTAGTCTTTATGTGGTTCAGATTGTGAGAAATTTTCAATAAATTGTATTCAGGGGTTTAGGAGACTAGGATACAGATGTGTATGAAGGTTTCATAAAAATCTTTTGAGCTGTTTCAGGAGCAGTTTCAGATACAAAAGTGGGACAGATGGACGAACTCCCCCATCACTATATACCACCAGTTTCAGAAAGGGGGTAAACTTACTATTCCTCACACTGAAATAAGAGTGTTGGTTACAATAATGGCTGACAGGTTGTTGTTTGTCAGATACCATGTTTTGATTTTTGTCTCGCCTGCTAGACAGGTAGTTATCTGGCAGTGATGACAGTGTAAACTATTTGGATAAAGCTTAATATTTCAGAAGGTAGAATACCTTGTACACAGATGCCTTACTTTACCATGTTTCTGTCTGTCATATGTCCATTGTCCTTGGCCTCATTTTCATGGTTTAGCAAAGGCTTAAAAACTAGTTTTCTCTCGTGTTAATATCTTTCTATTCACTTATGAGTAATAGAATAAATATATTTGGTATATGAAATCCTTGCAAGGGGTACTTGTTCATCAGACAGGGTTAAAATAACCTCGAACTCATTTTATGGTTCAGTTATAGAGGTTAAAGTTACATAATTAGTTCCGTTTCTCAGATGCTATATGCAGTGCTGCAGTAGGTCAATTATATTTGGTGTGTAGAATGCTTGTAAGGTGTACATGTTCGACTGGCATGTTTCATCTGACCTCGACTTCATTTTCATGTTTCGATGTTAAGGTTTTGTGTTTTGGATTGTTTCTCAGATACTATAAGCAATAGGTCAACATTATTTGATATATGGAATGATTGTAAGGTGAATATTTCTTTCTGGCAGGAACCTTTACTTAGTTTTCATAGTTCATTGGTCAATGTTACGTTTTCTTTGATAGGTCTGTTTGTATTTTTAAGCAATAGGTTAATTATTTTTGGTGTAATGGTTCATCTGACCTTGAGCCCATTTAATGGGTCATTTATGATGTTAAGTTAATGTTATACTTGTAATTAAACCTTATATCTTAAATACTTTGTACATGAAATCAATCTTGATCAGTAAAGCAGGTGAGACGTTTCAGTGTGTTTTTTAACTAATTAAGGAGATGTGGTATGATTGCCACTGAGACGAAAGGACGTGGATGTAAGCATGTATAGGTCACCCTACAGTCTTCAACAATGATAACACCATACTGTATACTAGTAGTAAGCTATAAAAGCCTTACATAATAAGATGGGGAAACAATTCAAACCAAAGCCTGATTTATGACAGAAGACAACCACTAAATTACAGGCTCCTGACTGAGGACATGCGAATAAAAAATGTGGTGGGGTTAAACCTTTTTGTGAGCGCTCAACCATCCCCCTAACCTGGGACAGTGGCGTAACAGTACAACACAAGTTCAAACTGTAAAAATCAGTTGGAAAGGGCTGACTCATCAGATGGCTAAGAAGGAAACTGATATTCTATAGATAGCGGTTTACAAGTTGTGACGGGCCAGTTGATTGATTGATTGATTGATTGATGGTTGCTGTTTAACGCCACTTTCATTACGTTTGGCTCTATCGTGGCAGTCAGTTTTTATTGGTATGGAAATCAGGAGAGAACCACTGACCTTCGGCAGGAAAACTGACAATTCTAGTGAATTAAGATTGAAGTCTTCAACAATGATAACACCATACTTTAAACTAGTAGGAAGGTAAAAAAAAAAAACACAACAAAACAAAACAAAATGTTAAACAATTCAAACCAAAGCCTGATTTATGACAGAAGACAATCACTGAAGTACAGGCTCCTGACTAAGGACATGCGAATAAAAAATGTGGTGGAGTTGAACCTGTTTGTGATCGCTCAACCATCCCCCTAAACGGGGACAGTCTTATAACAGCACAACATGAGTACAAACTGTAAAAATCCGTTGGAAAGGGCTCGAGTCATCAGATGGCTAAGAAAGACACAGAGATAGTGGTTTAAAAGTTGTGACGGGCCAGTTGATTGATTGATTGTTCCTGTTTAATGCCACTTTCAACACTATGGGCTCTATCGTGGCAGTCAGTTTTTATTGGTAGGGAATCGGGAGAGAACCACGACCTTCGGCAGGAAAATTACTAGTCAATTAACAATGAAGTCGAACTCCCCTAGCATGTGCTGGGTTTAAACTCACAGCCTCAGTGTTGATACCTTGGTGATACATTAGATGGGCTACTTAGTCCTATCGGCAACCAAGGTGGTGTAAACTATTTATATAAAGTTTTATATTTCAGAAGGTAGAAAACCTGGATGCTTAATACCTTGAATGCAGATATCTTATGTTAGGAAGTTTCCGTCTGTCAAATGTTCCTTTTCCTTGATCTCATTTTCATGGTTCAGCGACTGCTTGATAAAACTAGAGGCTCTCAAGAGCCTGTGTCGCTCACCTGACTCTACTTTGGTTTCAGAAATCATGTAAAGATAGATAAAAATCATAACAGATACCCAAATAATGATTGAGGCCAAATTTTGATTAATATTGGTCCCGTTATTTAATAAAATATCCTGGTGGCCATCTTGAACAGTAAATCGGCAACAAAGTAGCAACACTTGGTCAGCACTTCATAAGGAACATTCATGCCATGTTTGGTTTCATTCCATTCAGTGGTACTCTAAAAGAAGACATTTGTATGTATTTCCCATAGGGTCCTATGTTAAACTAAGCCCCCCCCCCCCCCCCCCTAGCGGCCATCTTGGATAATGGATCAACTGCAAAGTAACAACACTTGGTCAGCAACTCATAAGGAACATTCATGCCATGTTTGGTTCATTTCCATTCAGTGGTTCTCTAAAAGAAGACAATTGTATGTATTTCCCATAGGGTCCTATGTTAAACTAAGTCCCCCGCTGCCGGCCATCTTGGATGATGGATCGGCTGCAAAGTAACAACACTTGGTCAACATCTCATGAGGAACATTCATGCTATGTTTGGTTCCATTCCATTTATTGGTTCTCTAAAAGAAGACATTTTTATGTATTTCCCAAAGGGTCCTATGTAAAACTAAGTCCCCCCCTGGCGGCCATCTTGGATGATGGATCGGCTACAAAGTAACAACACTTGGTCAGCATCTCATAAGGAAGATTCATGCCATGTTTGGTTTCATTCCATTCAGTGGTTCTCTAAAAGAAGACATTTGTATGTATTTCCCATAGGGTCCTATGTTAAACTAAGTTCCCCAATGGCGGCCTACTTAGATGATGGATCGGCTACAAAGTAACAACACATTGTCAGCACCTCATAAGGAACATTCATGCCATGTTTGGTTTTATTCCATTCAGTGGTTCTCTAAAAGAAGTCATTTGTATGCATTTCCCATAGGGTCCTATGTTAAACTAAGTCCCCCGCTGGCGGCCATCTTGGATGATGAATCGGCTACAAAGTAACAACACTTGGTGAGCACCTCATAAGGAACATTCATGCCATGTTTGGTTTCATTCCATTCAGTGGTTCTCTAAAAGAAGTCATTTGTATGCATTTCCCATAGGGTCCTATGTTAAACTAAGTCCCCCTCTGGCGGCCATCTTGGATGATGGATCGGCTACAAAGTAACAACACTTGGTCAGCACCTCATAAGGAACATTCATGCCATGTTTGGTTTCATTCCATTCAGTGGTTCTCTAGAAGAAGTTCAAAATGTAAAAAGTTAACGCCGACGACGGACGACGCCAAGTGATGAGAAAAGCTCACTTGGCCCTTCGGGCCAGGTGAGCTAAAAATAGTTTTTTTGTCATGTGAATTTCTCACATAGTATTAGTAATAGGACTACTATATTTGGTATATAGGTTCCTTGCTATGTCTACATGTTCGTTAGATAAAGTTCACCTGACCCCGACCTCATTTCATGGATGAGTTATCAAGGTTAAAGTTAAGTGATTAGGTCTGTTTCTCAGATGCTATAGCAGTAGGTCAACTATAAGTGGTGTATGGAATGGTTGTAATATGTACATGTCAGTCTGGCAGGTTTCATCTGACCTTGACCTCATTCTCATGATTCATTGTTCAATGTTAAGTCTGTGTGTTTTGGTCTGCTTTTCAATTACCATTAGCAATAGGTCGACTATATTTGGTGTATGGAATAATTGTAAGGTGTACATGTCTGTCTGGCAGGAATTATCTGACATTGACCTCATTGTCATGGATCTTTAAGAATGTCAAGTTAATGTGATACTTGTTTTTAAGACTTTCAACATAAAATCAATGGTCAGTAAAGCAGATGAGACATTTCAGCGTGTGCACTCTTGTCTTTATATAGGGACACTACTAGCCCAAATCTGTGCAACAGTTTTGAAAAGAAGATGTTTTGATTTAAATGCTTCATCGGGTTTGTCAATACATGAGCAAAACGACAGGTGTCACATGTGGAGCAGGATCTGCTCACCCTTCCAGAGCATCTAAGATAACCCCCAGGTTCGTGTTGCTCAGTCTTTAGTTTTCTATGTTGTGTTTTGTGTGCTGTTGGTCATTTTCTTTTTTAGCCATGGCCGTTGTCAGACTGTCAGTTTATTTTCGACTTATGAGTTTGAATGTCCCTTGGGTATCTTTCGCCTCTCTTAAAGACTTTCACATATAATACGATTTAAGATAAGTTTTGGTTTGGGTTCAGATTAAAACTTGTGTAACGTTTCCTTTACTAGTATATCGCCTAACAATTCAGTTGGCTCAGTAGTTTCTGAAAGAGAGATAATGATTCAGTCAACCCATTTTGTAATGGCCCTGGTGACCATTAGGAGCGGATCCTGAAATTTTTCAGGGGTGTTACCGCACGGACTTTCAAAGTTTTCCATTTTTTGGCAGTTGATAATAAAGTCATCATGGTAATAACGAATGGTTTACAAAATTGATTATAGTTCAATTTTTCTAAGAACGCCTCTGTGGGTTTGTGGTGGTGTACTCACCTCGAGTGCTGGGAATCGTCGATTCTAACAAAAGACTTAAAAATTGGTATTTGCTACTTCGCCGCTAAGCTCTTGGCATATAGGAGTAAGAGAAAAGACTGGTTGGCTCAGAGTGAGACGTCAGGATAATGTGTCCAGGTAGGGTGACAAGTCTTCCTTTGGACCGTTTCTTGTGAACTAGCATGATAAAAATCCGACTCAATTTGACGGTCAAGTACAAAGCAGGGTTTTAATATTCATATCACATGATCACCATGTTCTCGTCCCGAATAGGCATTTAATTTTTCAATGGACGTTACACAGTCATCCATCATAATCATCATCATTTTTCTTTTAAAGTCTGCGAGCAAAAGTGTAAACGATCATATCAAGTTCTGTGTAAATCATAACGCACGTGCATCAGTGATAAATAAATCAATTCAGTCATTTCCCGCCCATTGTTGCACGCAAAACATTTTCCGGGACATGAGCTTACTATTTGAAGGTTCATTTTCGCAACTGGTTATTATCCTGCAGACAACTTTAAGAATAACAAAGATATTTGGATGGTTAAACTTTTTGCATTTCTTAATGATCCAGGTTGAATAATTTTGGAACGGGACTATGATCTCTCATTCTGATTGAAGAGATAATTCTACTAAGATATGTTCCATTTCTCACAATGGCTTTTCCAACATACATGTTTACAAATTAAATTCAATATCCGCATAAATCCTCATTAGATAGTACAATTTACCAAAACATACACTAAGATTGCAAATTTCAAAAGAATAAAAACAACATGTTTCTGGTATAACCTTTGTCAGACAAAGATTTAGGAACATGACAAAAACGAGAGACCATCAAAACCATATGTGATACTTCTTCGTAAAAATTTGAGAAAAGAATACTAGTATATTCATGTCTACACAGAGAGACTGAATTATCCCCCTTCTTCGTGGTTAATGCATATACTTTTTACAAGTCTCCATACATTGGTGTCTTGGTCACCATCCCCCTTTTCAAGATCCTGGTGCCGCAACTGACATCTGCATCGACTAGTCTTCAAATGTACTTAAAATGTGAATATAAAAAATCTAGGTGATCTTCACTGGCACTTGTCTCTGAATTTTCACCCTATATCGTGTTATATCAAAGTATACAGCTATTTTATTTCAAAGACAAATCCCTGTGGTCATCTTTGCTGAAAGAGTCCAAACATTACTTTTATGGTGAAATTTCTTAATATGTATGAAGACAAAAAACATGGCAAATGCAAAAACTCTAAGAATTACTGGACAGGTGATGACCAATAAGCTTCATTCAAACAGCACTGGCATCTATCCAGTAACTTGCATTTTGGACATTCGAAAACAACTTCTCATGTAAATAGTATACTGAGAAACAAAGTATGTTTATGTATTTATTTTTTTAAATATGATTATCATATTAGTACACACACATTTATAGGTGTAGATGTATACATGTTACCCTGATTTATTATTTACATTTATACATACAACATAGAAGTGTTTATCAGTATTATGCTTTTGCTGAAAAATTTAATGACCGGTCTTGATATAAAAAAAATTATGGATTGATAAAATAACAGTATTATACTTTTATTAAAAATAAATTGACTGAATCAGATCTTAATATAAAACAAAATATGGATTGATAAAATAACAGTATTATGCTTTTATTAAAAATAAATTGACTGATGTTAGTATAAAAAAATATGGAGTGATAAAAATATTTACTATATAGAAACGCAGGCTGAGGTTGGACTGTGATCCTTTTTCGTGAAATTATCTTTAATTTGACAGAAAAAGAAAAAGTTTTATCAGTTCAAATTGTCTTTTTACCACAATTTGTTTGTTATCCGACATGAAAAATCGCTTAAAAAATCAAACTATTCAATTATTGGAACTGGAATAAAAATTCAAGGAGTCAGACCATTTTCATTGTTTTCTGTCAAGATTTGCCTTAATCTTCAAAGTGTAGCCTAAGTGTGTGTCTTTATGTAATATGTAGCACATCATATTCTGTGGTAATATAGTTCTTCTTTTCTCAAAAATAAAAAAAAACTTATTTGTCTCAACAGCATATATTATACGTCTCTCGTCTCAATTGATTATAAAAACGGGTCTTTCTCGGGACAGTTCGAGATTGATGTGACGTCTTACGGGGTTAGCCTGGGTGGCAATATACAGTTCAAGAGGAAAAAAAATACCCTCGAATAAATTTTACCATCCCCTTTTCCTTGCTTTCTTACAAATTAAGCCTTCTGTTTGAGTCATATATGTGCATATGCATGTAATCAGTATCTTCCAAAGATTTGATTTCCAGTATTAAAAATAGTGGTTAGTTGATTTTTTGGTAGTTAAAATGATTAAATAAAGTTTCTTTTTGGTGTATCCATGGCAACAATCTGCATTTAATTGCTATAAAATATTGCAAAAAGGGGGTAAAGATGTCACATATTTCCCCAAAATTTGGCCAAAAGTAGAGTTTCAATCCCTTGGAGTGATACCTATTCTGAAACTGTTTACATAAATCTATCAAGAGATTAAATAAAAATCATGTCTTTCGTCTCTTTTTTTTTTGTAAAATTGCGTCAAAAAGTTCGTGTGAAAAAAGTGTTTAAACATTACAATAATTTCTGGACCTATGGCCGGTCTGGCTATGAAAATACGGACAGTCAATCAGAAAATAGCCCATAAAACATGTAAAAATATAATCTTGAAGTTCTTATTAACCCACTTTGAAGGCCAAATTAGTCATCAGCTGTCTAAAAATGAATTTTATTGCACAATAACTTTCATATTTGAAAAATCCACCAGGGCCAAAATGCGAAACTACATTCCTAACTGTGTGTTGCTACCTGAAGTCCACAAACATCTGACAAAAGGCCGTCAGACGCCAGAGCAATCTCGGACTAGACTCGGGGTTCATTACAGGGTCTATATAGGGTATTAATTAGGTTAGTATAAAATGATATCAATATACATTCACCGGTTTTTATCTCACTAGTGATGCCATTGTTTTCGACTCCGTTTTGTACAAAATTTATATATACTGTGTACAAAAACATATCGCCATTTATAAATTTATAAATGACTGTCGTTTCCGTACATCTTATAGCATCAATGTTTCAAGTCATAACGCTACGAGATTTGCTCCAAAAAAAATCGGGACCAACACACATTTATATTTAGTCAACCCAAATAGTGTTACAAATACTATGCATTGAAGATCATTGAATAACATGGATTGTATAAATTCTGGATAAAGATTCACGGACAATTGAATTCTAAGTCTTTCTATTGTAAAGATCGGAAGATTCTGCATGACATCGACAAATGTTCACTTCGAATTTCCACACAAATTTTGCACAGCTATAATGTAGTCCCATTATAAATCAGTTGTGTAATAAAATTTGCCTTGTTATAAAAGGAATAATATTGGAAATGGTGTAATAAGATTTACCTTTTCATATTGTTGATGTAATAATACTAGTACTAAAAGACAATATCAATAGCACAGAGTCTATTCACGAATAACAATGAACACGTGGTATAATCCCTTAGTAAAACTACGACACTACATTTTGATAACATTCATCAAACATAAGATATCTATATTACAAATGCTAGTTTTTCTTAACGATGGCGTTGTTATAAATGGCCATAGCTATTATGCCAGAACTCATCCCAACAAGTCCTCCAAAAAGAGCACCACTTCCAGTAAGTGCACATATCCCAGCGCCACCAACGGCTCCAACAATAGAACCCTGATCAACTTTGACCTGTCCTCGGTTATGTCGCAAACGGTAACACCTATCCCAAATCTTATATTCGTCTTCATCTTTAACTTTCAAAAATGTCATGAGAGGTCCCGTGACAAGTCCAAGAATTATACCCCCGCGACCTGCTCTGGTCATTTTCTGCTTGATTCCTCGCATGTTTCTGGTTTCTTTTTTCACAATAGCAGCAACAGGGCCTACCAAAACTGTTCCAAGTAAACCAAAGGCTTGGACAGTTTTTATTGTAACATGTACGCCCAACTCAGTGGTTGTATGTGGAACTTTTTCCATCTGTTGGTCCGTCAAGGACATGCCACACAAATTCTTTGCCCATTCTAGACTCATCTTCTTAGTATAGCAGACGACTGTAAAAGAATATAAAAATACAACAGTATGATGATTAAAAAGTGCAGGTTAAGAAGAAGTTCGTCAGTTGCCAGACACGGTCGGTCACCTTGCATCGACCATATGATATTGTCTAAACACATGCTAAAGGTCAGTTATATAGCCAGTTGTCTAGGTGATCACCTAAACTATTATACACCATAAATGTACTAGACGATATCGGGTTATATGTTTCAGGGTCTGGATTTATTCATTTATGTATTTTTTTAATGTATTAGGTCATTTTTCTCTATTCATTCTATTTTTGTTCCTTATTCTCTATTCTTTCTATTTTTGTTCATTGTTCATCCTTCTCTATATATACATATATATATACTATATATACATATATTATGTTACATCTTGTGATCCGTTTATTTGGCAATCGCCAATGGCAGTCAGCAGGGTTTAAGAACATCAGTTGTTCGACCTGCTTGTCAAATGCGTTTTGTTAAAATATACTTTTTCACTCATTTGGTCTTTTGGAAAATGTTGTTTGTGCTGTATTTAGACCCCTCTACCAAGAAATTTGTTTTGCATGCACACGTATAAAAATTGCGGTTTTTATCCAACGCAATCATATATAGTTTGAACGTTGTTTTCAATTTAGACTTGTTTATATTTTTTCGTTTGGGCTTGTATTATATTTGCCTTCGGGTTTATATGATCCGTTCATCCTATTTTGACTCTTTCAAAATCCAAGAGTCTATCCTAAATTGAGGTAAATTATATGGCCTTCCAAATACCGTTTCGATTCCTAACATCACTGAAGAGACATTAATTGTCGAAATCCGGATATGGTGTACAAATTTTTGCACCTCATGTTTGCGGTATACCATCTTTTCCGCAAGTTTATTGTTTTCTGTTTGGTAATAAATTAATAATAAGATCTATTATGTTACATCTTGTGATCCGTTTATTTGGCAATCGCCAATGGCAGTCAGCAAGGTTTAAGAACATCAGTTGTTCGACCTGCTAGTCAAATGCGTTTTGTTAAAATATACTTTTTCACTCATTTGGTCTTTTGGAAAATGTTGTTTGTGCTGTATTTAGACCCCTCTACCAAGAAATTTGTTTTGCATGCACACGTATAAAAATTGCGGTTTTTATCCAACGCAATCATAGGTTTGAACGTTGTTTTCAATTTAGACTTGTACATATATATATATATATATACTTTGTTTAACTGCCCATTATTATCTATTCATTATTTATTTTACCTATTTTCTCTATTCTTTATTGTTTTAGTCCATTTTTCTGTTCAAACGTTAATATGCCAGTCTATTCTCAATGCAAGGCATACTACGGAAAGGTCCTAGGATAATCATACGAAATTGCCTTCATGCAAAAACTGGGTCACCCTTGCAAAACTATTTTACTGGAAATGTCTTCACTCGAATAATTCAAGCTCCACCTTTCGAGGTAGTGATCGATAGGGAGCGTAATATAACGACTGGATTATTCGGGTTAGAAATGTCTGTTCTGTTTTGAGATTCAGATCTGAGAGAAACGATATTTTTTTTCACCTGGCACATCTTGGATTTAAATAAGGACCTTCGCAGAGATTATTGATCACCATGCACACTATACCAGAGATAATCTGTGTACAGGTGACTGGTCAAATAAAATTTGATATAAATATAAGGATCCAGAAAATAAACCGTCTTTAAATTTCAAATGACATCAAATGCATTTATTGAACAACACGGAAATTGATACAGTGGAGCCTTGTCCAAAATAATGTGTCGCCAAAGGTTTGCCATCTTATCTTTAAATTTCGATAATTAAATACATAAAACTGAGAATGGAAATGGGGAATGTGTCAAAGAGACAACAACCCGACCATAGAGCAGACAACAGCCGAAGGCCACCAATGGGTCTTCAACGCAGCGAGAAACTCCCGCACCCGGAGGCGTCCTTCAGCTGCTCCCTAAACAAATATGTATACTAGTTCAGTGATGTATGAGGGGCCTGATGGGTTATTTTCGTTCTTCGTGATCGGCGCATTTTCGCTATCGTGATCCGTTTTTCTACAGATTTTTTTTTTTTTATATTTTCGTGATCCGTGATCATGGAAATCTATTTTCTGTGAATCGTGATTGACAAAAAAATCAACTCGTGAATCGTGATGAGACCCCCCCCATCAGGCCCCTCGTGTATGGCCTTATATATGGCGTAGCATAACAAAGTCAAGCTGACATTCAGTTTAATACGTAAAGACAACAAACAGCTACCCATGCAAAGTCAATGAAAATTAAAATCCCTATTTCATTTCAATCTCCCATGTTTACTCAGAAAATATAACTAGCACTACCTTCGCCATTAAATGGTGGTCAAGTGGTTATTTTGAAAAGCAAAGTATACTTCTGTTAAAATGGTTTATTATATATAAGTAACATTTTTCTATGTTACCCTCTCATGTTATATGGAAACAAAAATCAATAATTTATAAATGACAATGATAACAGAGCTTTAAATAACATATAGCTATTAAGATTATGACCCCGAGGAAAACTTTGGTAACCGAGGCATCTATCACACAGATAAAAACAAACTAGCATGACAGTCTAGCAAAACATATTAGTCTAGTATCTGTGACCTCAAAGTTTGCTTCGTACAGCACAATATGTTTAAATTATTCAATTTGACAAAATCGTGGGTCACTAAGCTTCTGTCTTACACGAAAATGTGATAATGAGAATTAATTAGAAATAAGGAAATGTGGTATGAGTGCCAATGAGACAACTCTTTATCTAAGTCACAATATATATGTAAAAAGTAAACAATTATAGGTCAAAGTACGGCCTCTAACACGGAGTCTTGGCTCACACCGAACAGCAAGCTATAAAGGGTCCTAAAAATAATGAATGGATTACGTTTATCCCGTTTGTCTAAACAATGAAAATGGACGCAACATGTCACCGAAGTCGGAAAAGACTGAAAATGGATGTCACATTGATCTAGTTTTGGTCAGCATGAAGACTGGTCCGCGGAGATTGCCTATTTCTCATTATTTCTTAACACAAGTTTGAAGAAGAGCTAATCATTGCCGATAGGTTTGCTGGCGCTGCTTTTACATACACAACATAAACCAGAGATGATGAGCAAAACTGTTAATATATACTGATATATGGGTCACCGGGGTCATGTATAAATAAATATATACACACCGAACGACATGCTACAGTCGCATGGCAACTACTACATTGAGGAAAAACTGAGCTTTCCTTTGTGCTACCTGGTTTGCTGAGTCAGTAAATAAGATGTATATATAAAGATATAAGGAGAAAAAGAAAAAAAAAGGAAACGAATGATGTATGGTTTATCTGCTTGAAAATGGATCAATTTCAATTTCGAAACATAAACCACAGGGGTTTGCCTGTGTGCACAAACCTGCGTCTTTAAGTCATATGCATGGGTCTGCAATTTTCATGTTGTCTAAACTGACTGACATCGCTCTTACGTCCATAGGATCAAACCAGTATTGAAAACAACGGACGAAAGAGCAACCTCGGACTAATGACCTCAGTCGTGTCGTGATGCAGAGGAGGTGTTGAGGACTGTCGAGTTTAACCTTGTTTTTAGCGTAGTTATTGTCTTTAATATGTTTTCATTTTGATAACGCATGATATATTTGCAACATCAAACAACAATCAATTGTATTGTGATTTTAGTTTTTTAAGTTTCCCGATGATTATTGTAACTGAGTATTTAACCACAAATAACTATTATTGTCTATAGCTATAAATTAACAAACAGATTGAACACGGTTAAGTGCGCATGAGAAAACAATTGAAATAATGTGTGTGTAATTTGTTATTAATGTTTACTATACATGCTGTATGTCTGACATGTATGTATAGTGTAATTATGTTCTCTGGTGTCAGCTTGTTTGTTATGTTTTGCAAATACTATCTTAGTTTCCTCAGCATACGTTTATAAACATGATACAGTATTCATTCATTTATTAATTTATTTAAATGTGTTTGATATTGTGTAATATGTACGAGGCTTTTTAAACAATATATCTATATATAAATGGGGTAAGAATTGGGGCTGTATATACATTGTATAAAAGAGAAAATGGACGCACATCAATTACATAGAAAAAAATGACATGTACAGCACTGTGCTAAACAGCTGAAATAAAAACAAGCAAACAAAATTTGGAAAATATTTTAAAATCTGGTCCCAACCGCTTTACCTGATCAGGAAGCAAATTAACTGCAAATTTTGTTCACATAATTTTTTTCCCTGAAATGAAAAATAAAATAAAAAAAGAGCAATTTAAATGCGTAATAATAAATAAAACGTACCTGAAACTGGAAATAGGGCATATAGGTGTGCTTGCTACTGGATTTTTTTCAAATATCAAATAGCATTATTGGGGGAAAACCAGTCGCGTCGTGTCAAGTTATAGAACGAACCTTTCTTTGTTTACACTGTAATGATATAATGTGTCTAACATCCCCGGGATCAAACCCCTTACATAAAGTTTTTTTTATAGTATTTAAAGTCATTTAAAGAATTAACAATTTAATGATATTTTCAAATATACCATATGTGAATTGTACAAATTCCTCACATATTTATTGTTTATTACAGAAGCTGGATGCATATAGTATCATCTATCAAATCAAATCAAATAAAAATATAACATAGAAGTGAAATGAAAAATGATATATGCTTCTAACATGAAATCTCTTGCAGAGTTTGTTTTGTGGATAATAAAATAAAAAGTTTACCATTCTATTTATTTAAGCATTAAATAGTATCTTTCTCAGAGTATTTATATATATTTGTTTAATTTTTCGCCATTTATTTCTATTCTTTATTTTTGTTTGTCACACCATTATATTAAAGGGGAAGGAAACTAAAAAAAATATGCATTGATTAATAGAAAACTATTATATAAATTCCTTATTCGTTTGCCTTTTATTCTCTATTCTTTATGTGTTTTTATATCTATATTTAGATCTATATTTTTTGCCCATTGTTCTCTTTTATATAAACCAAATTTAGACCCTTGGGCATTAAAGGAAATAATTTTTGTCCCTTATTTTAACATATTATGTTATATCAGGTTGCACTTTAATAAAACAATACATATATATAATTCGTCTAAACAACAGCCCAACAATATTAGATCTGTAAATTTGCGGAAGCAAATATTTTGTTCTTCCCTGGCCGGGATTCGAACTCATGCTACTGAGATATCGTGGCAGGGAATTGCCTTGAACTGTGCCCGACGCGCACAACCCAAGGACAACCCAAAAAGATAATATACGCACATTTGCATCTTTGTAAAATACATCTTGCAGATATTTTTTTTAGTTAAGCTTTGTCTCATATTTAAAAATCAATAACAATATCTCAAAATGAGGCTCTTTAAGCAGATTTTGCAGTTTTACACAAAATGCCAGAAGCTGGAGGCTCTTATGCAAATATGTGAGAAAGTTAAAAAAAAAAAATGAAAATTGATGATTAAGATTGACAGACTAATCATGTCTTATGAACATCTGTAAGGGAGAGACAGCATTTATCAAAGGGATATTTAAACTCATTAGTCGAAGGCAAATTGACAACGTCATGGCAAAAAAAAAAACCAGGATGATATGAGATAAACAGCACTCTACAAAACACAACATAGAAAAATAAATTATGAGCAATACGAACCGCACCAAAAAATGGGCGTGCTCCTAAAGGAGCAGATCCTGCTCAACATGTGGCACCTCTCGGTTTACTCATTTAAGTACAAATTCTGTGATAAGTCTCTTTCGGTGTTGTCACACTCGAGGCAAAGAGGACGTGATTGTGGTTACGACGATTCAATTGGAACATATATGTCGTCATATGTGAAACAGATATTCCATAACGGTCAACCAACTCGTTATGTCGTCCGTACAGTTTTCAAAAGGCTAATTCTAATTGTAAAACTTGGAATCTTGGTTTATAATTTCCGTGTACGCAGCAACCCTCTGTCAAGAAAATCAGGATAGTACACAAGCTATGGAATATGGTGTCAACTGGGAGATACATACTCCATTTGTAGGGGCTGCTGGAATGCATGAGAAAAATACACCATTTGAATGCTTTTCTCAATTTAAATCTTATTACATAGAAATGGAAAGTTCACAATTAAGAAACCAAAGTATGTTATTTGGCAGGTTTATTATGGTTTTTGATTTTCGAAATCAAAGTCTTTTTCTTTTCCATTTGAGTGAACCTTTATTTTAAGCCGTTTGACTGGAAATACCTTTTTATTTCTGTTGATTTATCTATTCTACTTAATTTGGTAATTTCTAAGTTATTAATTTGAATAGTGGTAGTCAGGGGCGGATCCAGGATTTTTGAAAGGGGGATGTGAATCCCGATAATTTGATATAAACTGCCAAGCGGGCGATCTTATAGTAAAAAAATATAAATGACGTGAAAAACATGAGAACCTTTTTTTTTGGCGATCAAAAGGGGTGGTACTCACTCTTCTTCTCACCCTGGATCCGCCACTGGGAGTATTTTGTTGAAGATAAGGAGACAATCCTTTGCTTATTTGATCGAAAATATTCAGTGGTTCATTCTTTTTTAATTATTGAAATAAATTGAGATAAGGTTCTTTATTTTAGACATAATCAATACATTTTTACTATGTTAAATCATTTAAGGTATGCGCATTTTGACAATGTCTCTTCAGTGATGTTCGAGTCCAAAATAGTTCAAAACACAAAACTTAATACAGACGGCAAGCAGCTGATGTATCAAAAAGAAAAAAAAACAGTTACACAATACCCGTATTTTCATGCAAGTACAAATTAAAAGTACTGGCTACTGGGAAGGATAGGTCACCGTACAGTGACTTTAATTTGCTAACATCTACTTCATTTGGTCTCTGGTGGACATGGTGGATATGATTGTCTCATTTGCAATCATACAATAACTCCTTATTTTATATTGCTCATACCCTCGGGGAATAATTATATTAACCTAGCGATATCATAATCCTGTATACCGGATGATTTTCTTTTTACCATCAAACGAAGTATAATTTTCTAATCATCATTTGCATATAAATACTATAAATTTTAATGGCTCAATATTATTCAACAGAACATTATACTTTCTACTTTAGTTGGCCTTTTGATTTTTTTTATTCGAGCGTCACTGATGAGACTTTTGTAGAGGAAACGCGCGTCTGGCTTTCAAAATTTCAGCCTGGTATCTATATATGATGAGTTTATTATATGTAATAATTATAAAATCAGTATACCAGGAAGTCATAAAATTAACTAGAAAATCATATTTATCTCGTTATCCTTTTATTATTCACGATGATCCTGTTGATTTTTTTTTAATAAATATATTAATAATTTTACTGGTACGAATAGTTACTTGAATTGAAAAAACGAACGCTTCGTTTGGTATTTTGATTGATAGAATAATGCTGTGTTTAGCATTGACAATGAGCACATCGTACATCTACATCTGCAACATTGAAATCCAAAGGGTATAATACCAATCACGCAAGTACTAAATCAGTCATTCAATATGGTTATAGTGCATGACCCGAATGGAAGACATATATAGTGCATGACCCGAAGGGAAATTTTCAACAGAGGTTACTATTCTCATTTATATATATATATATTCCATGATGAATTCAACATGATTATGCAAAATGTTTGTAATAAGCAATTTATATGAATAAACATATTAACTATTTCACCCACTGAACATTAAACACAAATCCATCATCATTATCATTTACTGGATCAGCAATATAAATTATAAGATCTTCTTCGTCTTAAATTTATTATTTTTAAATATTGAAAGTTTATTAATATATGTTATAATTAAGATTACATTACTATATAATTAAAATGTGAACCTATACATTAAGGTACAAGTATTGGGATATATATTGGAAAAAACGATACCACGAGTTTGTAGAGTGAATGGGTAACTTTTTCATGAAGTAAAGTTGTTTCAATGTTCTATTAAAGTCTCATCTCATTTTAATTCAATGGAAATTAAACAATTTTTTTTTAATTTTCGGATGTAAATATGATAAATATGTGTGCCTACAATTTTGTCGTAAGAAAGCTTACTTATATGCTGTAGTTTGTAAAAAAAAAACCACTTAATTCAAATTATTTTTATGTACTATATAGAAATACGAAGATGTGGTATGAGTGCCAATGAGACAACTCAGTATCCATCCAAGTCACAATGTGTAACAAGTAAACAATTATAGGCCAAAGTACGGCATTCAACACGGAGCCTTGGCTCACACCGAACAGCAAGCTATAAAGGACCCCAAAATGACTAGTGTAAAACATTTCAAATAGGAAAACCAACGGTCTAATCTATATAAAAAACGAGAAACGAGAAAAACTTATGAACCGCACCAATAAACGACCACCACTGAACAACAGGCTCCTGACTTAGGACAGTTGCATAAAAATGCAGCGGGTTTAAACGTTTTAACAGGCGCCAACCTTCACCCTAACCTGAAACAGTGGTGTACCATTACAACATAAAAAGACACACAATAAAATATCAATTGAAATGGCTTAACTCGATCAAAAAGACATATTCACAAAAACAAGTAAATATTCACTGAACGAATAAGTTTGATCTATGGCATAATATAAATAAAAAAGATGTATCGATGTCAAAAAGACAACTTTATCTTGGCATTGCACAATGTCATGTTTTTCTCTGACTGTTAATGACTTAATCCATTGTATGTTGGATGTGAACTGATTGATATTTTAGTCTTATATGCATTATTTATTTTATTAGTTATTATTGGCTTTGAACTAGATGTCAGTAACTGCGAGCACTTTCATCTGTACTTAGTGTCTTTTTTGTTGTGGGAATGAACAAATGCCCTGCTACGTCCGGTCTGTGTTTTTGTTAGATGTTTTTATGCTTTGTATCGATCTGATGAGTTAAGCCCTTTTCAACAGATTTTTATATATTGTTCTTATGTTGCATTGTTACACCACTGTTCCAGGTAAGGGGGGGGGGGGGGGGAGAGGGGGGATGGCGCCAACAAACTAGTTTATCCCCGCCACTTTCTGTATGTGCCTGTCCCAAGTCAGGAACCTGTTATTCGGTGGTTGTCGTTTGTTGCTGTATATTATATTTGTTTTTCGTTCATTGTTTTATACATAAATCAGGCCGTTATTTTTCTTTGAATTGTTTTACATTTGTCATTTCGGGGCCTTTTAAAGATGACTATGAAGTATGCTTTTGCTCATTGTTGAAGGCCGTACGGTGACCTATAGTTGTTAACTTCTATGTCATTTGGTCTCTGGTGGAGACTTGTCTCATTGGCAATCATACCACATCTTCTTATCTTTATATATTATACGAATGTTTATTTTTTTTATTTAAATTTCTGCTGACAAAAATGGTTGCTGACGCTGAAAAGATAAACTGAATTCGTGCCAAAATTATTGTATAAGAGAATTATCA